ATGGACATTAAGATGATTGACTTTGAAAATGTGCCTTCATATTGAGAACAATGAGAAAAAAAGAAAGTTACAATTGCACTTACAACATTAATATATAGTATGTAAAAAACCATCACATTCGGGTATAAAACATTAAAAGTGCAAATGTGAAAGCTAATACAACGATGCACAAAACACATGACGATGAATGAGGTACGGGAGAAGTGGCAAAGAGAGGAGGCTCACATCTGTTCATGCATGAGGCTGAAGAGAAACAACATCAGCAAGGGGACACTAAGAAAGTAAATCTTCATTTTATTTTTTATTGTTTAAATGTCTTTATAATTCTTAAAGAAAATGCAAAACAATGTAATGTGGTTACATTCTGCAATTAATTTACAGTGCCGGGAAGCACCTTTCTTATCATTCAAACTGCTTTTACAAGCAAGAAACTGGAATACAGTATGAATTTTATCTGGTTACAGCTGAGTTGTTGACTCTTGTATTGCTGAAGCTTCACATAAAAACAAACAAACAAACAAAACTTCACTTACTAAAATTATAGACTGTATATAAAAGAGAGCCATAGCTGCTGTGACATCAGTGGTTTGTAAAGCCCCGCCCACAAGAACTGGGATTGGATTTTGGAAACTAGCAATCGCAAGAAACTGCAACGCTCATACAGTAATAATTTGTTGCCCTAAAGTAGATCTCACCTAACCTATATTGTGATTTATACCGTTTTTACTGAGGTATTAAACATTTATGCAATTATACTTCTTTTTATCAGCAGAGGAACTGCCCCCTAATGGCCACTGAAAAGAATGCAGACGTAACCCACTTTTGCTTTGACTTTACATTTCAAATCCTGAAGATACACCTATCTTTTATATACAGTGTATGATGAAAGCACACGGTGGCTTTTATTGTGAAGGAGACTAATCAAAAATGTATCTACAAGAGAAGCAACTTTACTCCCTGCTAACAATTTGAACAACATAACATGAGACAAATTGACAGATTTTAAATATCTACATCAAGACGAGGTTTTTTGGCTGCACAATAACGGATACAGAACGGACACGGGCTGCTTTTCTGTCGCACTTCTAAAAAAGAAGGTGCTCAACGAGAGCTTGTCGTAGCACAAAACTCTACTTCCTGTTACCACTTTAACCACAGGTGTCACCAAATAAGCAAGAAGTGATTAGCCTATCAGAAACCCAATGATTAACTACTTGAAGTGTGCTTTTCTTCAGCAAGACATTTTCTTGAAATGCAGCAATTTCAGACGCCACAGTTTCATGGAGGCGGTTTTTAAAAAAATACATAAGTCTACTGCTTTTCTTCAATCTCAAAGTCAATCTGCCTTCATATTAATAACAGTCTATTCTTGTAAAGTCTGAAATCCAAACCAGATTTCTCATCCTTCATGCTTCAGTCCCATTGTTTTAATGCATGTTTCCATTTAGCCTCAGTACATTTCTGCCCATCACTACAGTAGTCATGTATGTTAATATCTTTTTAAAAGCTCACATCATGCAAAGAGTCACTAAATATTAAAAAAAACAAACAAACATGGAATGCATTTTGTAAATTTGCACAAAAAGAGAAGCCGAATAATTGCTTGTACAACCCACACAACTGACAAGCATCATTCAGCATGAAACAAACAAAAGAGTAAGTCAAACTGATAGCAATGCCCAGCCTCTTCCACAGAGCAGGGAGGGGCGTGTGGAGGGTTGGATTATGGGGTAATGTGAGGGTGAGGAAGGGGTACTGTAAAGGATGATGGGGTTGGAAACTCATTCACAGCAGGATGGCCACAAGGGAGCACTTTTTCTACAGGAATCCTTAGCTGGAAATAAGAGAGAAGGGCTGTTATTGCTTTCTTGGA